CAGCCGCACTTCCCGCCGCCTCAGCGCCGATGTTGGATCATGCAGATCCAATGGCTAGTGACGATTTGCTGGGGCTAACTTTGGCCGAATGGGGTCGGCACCAGGGCGAGGACATGTCGTTATTGAGGTTGCGTCGCCACGCAAATAATGCAGCTCCAAGACAGGGCAAATTTAATTCATTTGTCATGAAGCGCGGCTTGTTGATGCATTGGGATGCTGACTCGTGTCAACATAAAATCGTCGTGCCATCTGCCTTGCGATGCAAGGCCGTATGGGCGGCGCATGAGCGTTTATTGCACCTGGGTGTTCATAAGACTATTGGGTTGTTGCGGTTGCAATTTTTCTGGCCAGGCATGCTGCGCGACGTCACTGACATTTTGCTGGGATGCACCCATTGTGCGCAACGTAAACCGCCGGCTAAACCGGTATGTCCACCCCTGCAACCCATTTCGGTCTCTCGTATAAATGAGTTGGTGGCTCTCGATATTTTGGGCCCTTTTCCTACTACGCCACGGGGTAATAAGTACCTTCTGGTTGGGGTAGAGTATTTTACACGGTGGCCTATGGCCTGGGCCCTCCCCAACCAGTCGGCGGCGGCCGTTGTGGACGCCTTTGTTCAAGGCTACGTCCTGGACAAGGGCGCACCAGAACGGTTGCTGACCGATCAGGGAAGAAATTTTTCGGGAGCCTTGCTGACTGATGTGTGCCGCCTGTTGGGCACTAAGAAAGTGCGCACTTCGCCCTACCATCCCCAAACCGACGGCATGGTGGAGCGCCTTCATAGAACTCTCACCGCTATGTTATGCCATCAGGTCGATGAATCCTACCTCGATTGGGACTTGCAGGTTCCGGGGGTCCTCGCCGCATACCGTATGGCACCTCACGCGGCGACGGGATTTTCCCCGTTCTTTCTAATGTACGGCAGGGATGCCTTTCCTCCCGCCGACGTTCGGCTGGAAATCGAACAGCCACCGCAAAAGTCAAAGCTCGTTGACCACTTGCGATTCAACCTCCGTAAGCTGGCCGAGGCACGGGAGGCCGCCAATGAAAATTCGGCTTCCCGCCAACGGGCGAATTTGCGACTGCGGGACTCTCGGTCGTACACGCATCGGTGGGCACCGGGAGACAGGGCATGGCTCCACTGCCCCCAGGTGCCGGTGTCCACGTCGGCCAAACTCCTCAGACCATGGCAAGGCCCGGTTGAGGTAGTGGAAGTCCTGCGTCCCCAATGTGTTAAAATTAGCTGGGGACGGCGTCGCGGGTGCGTTCACCCCTCTCGGTTAAAACCCTTTGTCACGCCACGCGTCCCTCCACAACACACACGACATGGGGGCCGAGTGTGCGACGCGTCCGACGAGCCGGATGTTGCCCCGTTGGTGCCTAACCCGCAGCGCAGGCGTGTCATTTCTCCTGCAGATGACGCGGGAGTGACGGCTCCATGCAGGCCACGTTCGGCCTCAATGGACCGTGGAGCAGCAGGTGTCCCCGTGGAGATGCCTAAAGGCCCACCGGATGCTCTGGCTCATCCTCCTCCTTCCCTTGTGCCGCCGACAAAGCCTGCCATCCCCTACGATGGCCCCGCGAAACGCACGCGCGCGAAATCTCGCCGGTTGTTATAATGTTTTTTTTTGGCATGTCTAGTGCCTTGTACATACGTTATGTTGTTAAGGGGGGTATTTATAGGGGTTTAATTGTTCTTGTTGTTCGTGAGGCACACTCACAATTCTTCTACCATTGGTAATTTCGGAGTTTCCCATTGTTGCAGCCGGGACGGCTGGAGCTTCCGAAGGAGGGGGTGATGTAGAGGTGTTAACTACGCGCTGTTGCGTAACCTGCGTTGCCACCAGGGCGGTGCAGCATTACCCCTGGGCACAACGGTTGGGGTCAGTCGAGGTGAAACGGATCGTGGCCAGGGTTTGGTGCGAACCAATCAGACGGTTCCACGTGGGAATGTATGATTGGTTCTACCTGGCCACGAAGGGGTATAAGACGGGTGACCCAACAGACCTCGGGGAGTTCTCTCCCTGCACGAAGACAGAAGACTGGGCTGAAGCCTAGCTAGGACCCTGGACCAGCCTTCCAGCCCTTCTAAGGGCTAAGGCTCGGCATACCCAGTGGTCAGGACCCACCGGGCCAGCGGTGGGTCAGATAGCCTCCCCTAGGTCCTAGCCAAAGGACTAGGATAGCGGTAGACGTGTGAGTCCCGCCAAGTCCGGAGGTTGTACCTCCTTAGGTATCAAGGAGGTTAGCGGTAGACGTGTGAGTCCCGCCAGGTCCGGAGGCTGTACCTCCCTAGGGTATCGGGTGAGGGGACCGAATATCCCTCTGTGTGTGTTAAGCGTTGTATAAGGAAATAATACAATAAACAGAGTGTGCCTCCTAAAGAAGTCTGCTCGTCCTTACAACACTACACGTGTATAAAACGATTTATGATTATACTGGTCCACAAACACTGGGAGTGGGACTAGGCCATGAGGAAGGCGACTATCTCTGGTTTAGGCCAATCAGTTTCCAAGACAATGCCATGCATTATTATCAGAGCATGTTTGCATTTCAACACAAGTACTGTGTGGTTAATACAGTACTCGTTTCTCGAGCAATCTTCCATTGCCAGCTCTCGCGCTGTAACTGAGCTTAACGGATCTGTCCGATTGGAATGTGCCAACACAGAACAAATACAAAGATCCCCCGTAGGGCCTTAGCAGACTGTTGGGGCAATTGCTGCTAGTGACAAGCAGCTAATGAAGGCCGGCGAGGCACACTTGGGGGTGGGTGGCCAGCACCACGCCCGGCCGCCTTTGTCTCCCCTGTGGCGATGTTTTTACAAACTGCATGAAGCACTTATTTGCGGTAACCGCCACACCATTAACTTTTTTTTAAATCGGGCCTTCTGAAAGGCCCTCTTATCATTTTAGTCGACGGACAAACGCAACGCCGGGCTTTTATAATCGGAAAAAAGAACTGAGGCCACGTGCACACCGCCCCGTGATGTAATTGCACACGTGACGTCGCCTTTGGACCGTGACGCAAATCCATGCGCTTGTGGCCCCACCCCCGCCGCTCCAAGACGCCATCTCACGCGTGATGCCACCTCGCTCGCAGCTGGGCGAACCACGGAATCGGTGCCTACCCCCACGCCCCGTCCAAACCCCACGGGCAGATCTCATAGCTGTCGACGCATACGGTTCAGTGCCAGATGAAGCTCGTGCGAGGGGGCCTGGCGCGTGCGATGTTATAACGGGGCCCTAAATAAAATATATATTAAAACACGTATAACAAAAAATTACTTGCATAGTAAAGCAATTGTATTTTTTCATTTGCTATATGGCCAGATAATACGACAAATCGCTAACCTTAAACCCGGTTGTGCATAAAAGTTGAAGGGCGGTAAGAGTACTATAGTAGTAGAGCAAGTGCAGAGTCCACTGAACCGGACTTGATAGCCCAGTGAAAGTGCATCCAGCACTGTGACGGTTTAGCCCGCGTGCTCGTGCAGGGATCTCGAGTTCCGAGGTCCATGTTGGGTCGGGCCCTTTCCATGCGGGACAAATGTTTCGTCGAATTTGTTTGTGTTTAGATGGGACTTTGTATGATGAACGTTTGCGATTTATTAGTGGCACGGGTTGACCAATACAGTCTATAATAAGGTAGGCGCTGATAAGGGGTTGACAGGTATATTGTGGTGTAGTGTATCGTGCAGAGAGTGTAGTTTAGAGTGTAGTGTGCCTTCCCTCCGCGCGCTGGTGTCGATGCCAAACATTGACCCGATGTTGAGGCCTCCTCATGGCTTGCCGCAGTCCAAGCCTGCCTTGCCTGGTTTCCCTACCCAAAACCCCCCGGGCATCTTCGGGCAGGGGACATCGAATGAGGGAGTGGAGGAAGTCCACGGTCCTGTGACACAATGAACCAGCGTCTCGTGCACCTCCTGTTGGCTCCTCGCTACGTGTCAAGACAAAGATCCCTAGCACAGACTATGAAGGCCACCGGCACGGCACACGAGGGGGGGAGGGGTGGCCAGCACCACGCCCGGACGCCTTTGTCTCCCCAGTGCAAGCGATGTTTACAACGCACCGCTACACCAGGTACTCATTTGAGGCTGAGTCGACCTAGGGGAGGCCCAGGACCGGTTCAGATAATTGTCACTGGTGGTGTTGGCCGTGAGCTGGAATCGAACTCGGGACGCCAGGTTCGCAGCGCAGCGCGCTAACCACTACACTACCACACAGACAAAGATAAAGACAAAGATCCCCCATATAGCCTTAACAGACTGTAGGGGCAAGTGCTGTTAGCGAGCACCTATAAAGGCCGGAACGGTACACGAGGGGGTGGGTGGCCAGCACCACGCCCGACCACACACAGACACACAAAGACACGTACACACAGACACACAAAGACACGTACACACACACGTACACACAGACACACGTACACACACAGACACACAAAGACACATACACACACACGTACACACAGACACACAAAGACACGTACACACACAGACACACGTACACACAGACACACAAAGACACGTACACACACACGTACACACACACAGACACACAAAGACACGTACACACACGTACACACACAGACATACGTACACACAGACACATAAACACACGTACACACACGTACACACACACAGACACACGTACACACACACAGACACACAAAGACACGTACACACGTACACACACAGACACACGTACACACACAGACACACGTACACACACACAGACACACAAAGACACGTACACACGTACACACACACAGACACACGTACACACACACAGACACACAAAGACACGTACACACACAGACACACGTACACACACACAGACACACGTACACACACACGTACACACACACAGACGCACAAAGACACGTACACACACACGTACACACACAGACACACGTACACACACACATACGTACACACACACAGACGCACGTACACACAGACCCACACACACAAACACACACAGACACACGCAACTTACCAGCATGAGTGTGCAGGTTAGGAGCGTGGTGACCAGGCGTAATTGAGACATGGCCCAGGAGTTGTCCACACGGATGTGTGGATGTGAGCGAGAGGCGATGGACTCCCCTTGAAGCTCGCGTCGGGGTTCTCCCCCTGACTGATGAGGAGGACGAGGAGGGTGCGGCACGGCTCAATGGACTTTGAGTTCAATAAAAACGCAACTGGCAGAGGCCATTACAAGTGTAGGTGGTGGTGGTGGGGGTTAGATGGTTGACAAACAGGTGGACAGAAGGCACTGAGCACACGTGTCTCATGGTTTAGTGGGGGGGGAGGGGGGCTGTTGGAGTCTCAACTTGGTGAACACCATCGGGGTTGACTGTTGGAGTCTCAACTTGGTGGACACCATCGGGGTTGACTGTTGGAGTCTCAACTTGGTGGACACCATCGGGGTTGACTGTTGGAGTCTCAACTTGGTGGACACCATCGGGGTTGACTGTTGGAGTCTCAACTTGGTGGACACCATCGGGGTTGACTGTTGTAAGCTCAACTTGGTGGACACCATCGGGGTTGACTGTTGGAGTCTCAACTTGGTGGACAACATCGGGGTTGACTGTTGAAAGCTCAACTTGGTGGACACCATCGGGGTTGACTGTTGAAGTCTCAACTTGGTGGACACCATCAGGGTTGACTGTTGGAGTCTCAACTTGGTGGACACCATCGGGGTTGACTGTTGGAGTCTCAACTCCCCTGAAGATGGATGTCTCCGATGAGCTTCTCGACACAAGCAGCGCTCACGATAGTTCTGATTTGGCCAACGCCGGAGACAGCCGCCTCTAATGCAGACTCGATGCCTTGTTGTGATCGGGGAGCCTATTTGGTGTTTGAACATCGTAACGCCTCCTGTATTCTTGGCGGGATGAGTCGAGACGATTATTTTTTTCATCACCTTGATACTGGCAAAGCACGGACCCAGAGACAGCACTCGCGATCGTGTAATGAGTCAAAGTGAATACGCTTATTGACATGAGGAAGATCGTACGGACATGGAAAGAGAGACAAACTGCATGGGGAACTTACACATTGAGCAATGCCAGGGAAAGAATCATACAGAGAAGCGTCGTGTGGTGGCTGGACACGGCGTGGATCACACGGGCAGTGTGGAAGACCGAGTAAAGGGGTCAATGTGTGTTAGTTCGTGGGAACAGTCACCAAGTGATAGCGATAGAAGAGTGATACGGAGGTGACTGACTGCTGGTGAGGGAGTGAGTCGAGTGATTCACTGAGTGTGTTAAGTAGAATACTATTAGCACAGCGAGTTATGAACTGTGTGCTCCACCCCAGATATTATAACAGCAGTGGGCTTTCGCGACTAATATTCTTCATAACAAATAATAAAGTTCTTCTTATTCTACTTCCGTCCAACCTATTTAGTCTGGCCAATATTCTGCACAGGCCACCACTTCTGGTGTTGGCATTGCCAAATCTTGAGGAGGGTAATGTGGTGCTGCAGGGCATCTCAGGAGAACATCCGTGGTTTGCTTCTCCTGACAAGCACATTGCTCGGTTGCACAGAAGCCCCGTGATTTCACGAGAGGGTTGCAACTTGACGAAACCCACTCTCAGTCAGTGTAGGCTCCGCCATGTGTGCCATTTGCAATTGGAGCCAGATGCGAGCTCCTCACTGGGGATCATTCCTCGCTGGCTCCATTCAGCAGTTTTGTCACTCGATGTTGTCCCATTCTTTACAACAGAGGGAAGTTCTTGCAGATTCCGGCGATGTGGGCACTGGTACAGTGGAGCACAAGAAGCAGTTTCTCGATGACAGACGACGGTGGGCTGGCTGATGGCCATGATGGACGTCCCCCTCTAGGACTTGCCGGTCGTGGTCACCTGACACCCTCCTCCTGATGTTCGGGGCCGCTATGCCAGAAAGTGCAAATAGGCAGGGAACAGGGGTGGCTCTCAGGCACCCTGCCATGAGTCTGCACGTGTCAGAGTGGTGTCGACATGTTGACTGTGGGTTGAGCGTCCCCAGGTAGAGCATGCATATTCAGCCACAGAGATACAAAGTGCTAAGGCCGTGATGCGTACTGTGGATGGATGTGCTCCCCACTTTGAATTTGCGAGCTTTTGCAGAATGTTGTGTTGTGTGTTGACCTTGGCTTTGGTATCAAAAGTTGTACTTGTAGCTGAGTATACGATCCAGTGTTACCCCGAGGTACACTGGGTGACCCTGGTGTTCCAGGCTCTGGCCTCCCCAGGTGACATTCAGGTGTCGCTCTGCATCCCAGTTTCTCAGGTGGAAGGCAAAGATTTGGTTTTATGCGGGTTGGGTTTGAGATGATTATTTAGGTAGCATCTTGATATCTCGTCCAGTGCCCTCTCCAGGATATTCTCTGTGTTCTCGAAATTCCTCTGCTGTGTGTTGACACAGAGGTCGTCAGCATAGATGAATTGCTGACATTCAGCAGGAAGTGGCTGATCGTTGTAGATATTTAATTAAAGTGGGGCGAGCATACTGCCTTGTGGTAAGCCGTTCTTTTGAGAACGCCATCTACTTTTCTGCCCGTATAGCTCCCCATAGAAGTCACCAAAGTGATAGCGATAGAAGAGTGATACGGAGGTGACTGACCGCCCGTTACGTTTAATTTAATTTAGCACAGCGAGTTAGGTACTGCGTGCTCCGCCCCAGATATGATAACAACAGTTTTTGTTTACGTCTTTAAGTAGTTGGCTTTCGCGACCAATATTCTTCAAAATAAATTTGTTTTGGTTAGATCGCGTGTCGCTGGTGGTAATCGCCAGCGAAACTTCGTTAACTCAAATGATAAATGTTGTGGGTTTGCATGCACATATGTATAGCGGTCTGCTGAAGTTAAAACCAATTGGCACGTTTCGTTCCCGTGACAAACCTTACTCATTGGCTGTGTCGGGTGGAGGTGGGTTTACGACACATTTATTTTTACTCAATCGACCCCAAAACGCGTTATTATGAATGGCAGTTGATTTCAAATGTGGCTGAACTCATGCTGCCATGTATAGGAGTGATAATTGTTTATAATTCACCATGGCGTTAGCATCAATAACAATGCCAATCTTCGTGAAGCCTCCTTTGGTGAGTAATAAATCCATCGCATGACAGCTACGATGCTTGTGCCCAGCAGATCAAAGGTTTTACTATAGATGTGAATTTCATTGCTGTGACCAAGCAAGTGGATAAGGCTGGCTCGCATGATTGAATCTTGTACCCCAGCCTGTATGGATATTGAACTTATACTCTTTGGTTCTTTCGGTAGTCACGTAGGTAGAAAATAAAATAAATCACGACGTTTCAGGCGCAACACAAGCGTCCATCATCAGGTGGGATGGCCGCTTGTGTTGCGTCCAAAACGTGATTTATTTTATTTTCTACCTACGTGACTCTACCGAAAGAACAAAAGAGTATGGATTCCTGCAGTCACGAAAGCTTCAAATCAAGATTACGTTGAACTTCCTTCCCAAGCCATTGGCATGGGTGATAAAGCTACGCTCCCAGAAGCCAAACCTTACTCCGAAGTCAACCATCACTCTGAAGTCAACCATCACTCTGAAGTCAACCATCACTCTGAAGTCAACCGTGACTTAATGTACAGCTAATCCACCACATCAGCATCGCCCACAGTGAAAATTATCTTGTAAAAGTAAAATAAGTAAAAAACCACGACGTTTCGATCACAACACAAGCGATCGTCATCAGGAGGGAGACAAAAACGATCACTTGTGTTGTGATCGAAACATCGTGGTTTTGTTCATTTTATTTTACGGAAAAACCCAAATAATATTAATTCCTGCAGTCACGAAAGCGTTAAGTCAATAATATGAAGGTTGAAGTTTGAGATAATCGGTAAACATAAATAAAGGCGATGTAGGTACAAAAAATAAAGTCTCTAAACCGGTTATTATAATTCCCATGACAACACTCTACAGATGTAGGGGACTGCAAAGAGAAAGTGTTAAAGTGTCCACGTGGAGGTCGTGAAGAACGGGTGGCCGTAGTGGAGTGTCTATATAATTAACTAGCTGTACTACCCGGCTTTGCCCGGGACTTGGATCCACCACGCGCGGCCGCCTTTGTCTCCCCAGTGGCGATGTTCACACCAGGCCCATGACCGGTTCAAATAATCGTCACCGGCGGTGGCCGTGAGCGGTAATCGAACTCGGGTCGCCGGGTTCGTAGCGGAGCGCTAACCACTACACTACAATGCGTTACGCTTCCACATGCGCGGGTCACGTGACAGATTTGACGTCACAGCTCACTTGCCGTGAAAAAACTATATACATTGAGCTCCCCCCCCTAAAAAACAAGAGTTTATTTTTATAATTTATACATGGTGTACAGTCTGGAAAGTACCCACACGGCAAATTTCAAGTTTTTTGCATGTCGGGAAGTACGCTAAACATTTTGAACAGACACACATAATCACAACTTTGCCTTTTATATATGGAGATGAATGAATTCGTTACCTCGACGCGTCGTTACGATTAGAGTCACGTGACGCAGTGGGGGTGGAGGGCGCTGTCCAGTTGGGGGTGGGGCCGAGAGGCTTTGTGAGCAGGGCGAGGCCGCGGTCTGGGCGCTTGCCCGGGGACCAACGTCTACGAGGTGGAAGACATCGGGGCCGACTCTTCACGGAGCTGTAGCTACGTTACTCCTAAGACGATAGAGACTTCGCCTTGTTAGAGATGGACGTCTCCACGGAGCTTCTTGACACAGCCACTCCTAGATCGGGTCACTTTAGCTTCACGAAGCCCAGGGCCCCTGCATTGTCATAACCTGGCCCTTGACAATGCAAGTACAATCGTGCGTCTGTTCATATTAATATTATCATTTATTTCCATGCATATTCAAATTGGCAGTAAAATGGATTGTTGTATATGTGGGTGTGTGAAAATTTGATGAAAAATAATGAAAATTAAATGAAATTTCAAATTTTCATAATTTATCCGAAATTATGTTAATTTGTGTAATTATGCATATAATTGTGCTAATTCGAGGTAATCGTATCAATTTATACGAGTGGATGTGGTTATGTTAATGATACCCTTTATGATAATTCAGACCCCGCCTCGTTGACGAGGTGGTGTTATCAATTGGGATAATGCAATCAATCGTATGCAGTTATGCTAGTGTCAATTCGGCTTCGTTGTCTAACTTCGTATTATCGATCACTATAATACAATGATTCTCGCTTTGACATTTATTGAGTGGATTAGTGTTTATGTTTTAGGTCCCAAGTTCATATCATTCTCGCTTTAACATTTACTAAGTTCATATCTCATCGCAGGATACAGATCTTATGCAAAAATTTCAGGAAAGAATCACACGACCACTTCTGTATTAATCAATTTTCTATTTAAACCTTAACTATAATATAGTATGTGAACTCTCAATCTCGGAAGTTCAACACGGTATCAACACAGTATCATCAACGACTGTACGATCTCACTTTGACAACGGCACATGGATCCCGCATAAAGCGATTGTTGTTAGTGAGAGAGAGAGTCATCAAAACATGCTGGCAAGCTATTCTAACAAAAACCTTATACATTATAACATGAACGACTATTATGCTTGGAATAGTCAGCACAGTATCACAGGCGATTGATTAACATGCAACGGTATTCATATAAAAAGACGATCAAACAGTTATCATTTCCAAAGGCATAAATGTAACAACAGATCCACCGGACAGATTATAGGATTACCGAAATGGCTTAGAGTGAGGGTGTGCGGCGGAACGTGCTATCTCACGGGAGATTAATCAATTCGTGAACAAGATTGTATGATCAGAAAATCGGTGTAGCACGATTCCTCCCCGGGAGCATAGCTCCGTGGCGAAGGTGCCAAGGATGAATTCGTATTGATGGATCGGTTGGTAACTTATGCGATTAGAAGTACAGCCCACTAAACAAAATATTAAGGAGGAAATATTACGAATATACTTTAAGCGACGGATGGTTATCACTCGTTCTCGTTGCGATGCCTTCACGGCCAGTCCGTTTTACGGACTTGAGTGTGTTTGTGTGTCATGAATTGTGTGGAGTAGTCAGTGTTCGGAATTAATTCTTTGCGTTAAGCAGACGTCAGATTGGTCGTGTAGTGGGGGGGGCATAGCGCATCATCGTATCGTTGAGTTCTCTTTATAGGTTGATGTGTGAGTATGGTTGGTCTTCTTGCGTCAACATACCGCGACGTTGGGCATCCCTTGTATGAAAGGGATACTCGCTCTCTTTAGAGCGGTGAGAGTGCGTGCGTGGGGGGGTGCATCATACGGGTAGCGGTACTCCTCCACACGGCGGCCAGCCTCTTGTCCACGGCCGGGTAGGAGAGTTGGCACGCGGACAACTCCTGGTGCAGCTCGAACACGCGCAGGCAGCAGAACTCTCTCCGCTGCTGGATGGCTGCGCTGCTCTCTGGTGGCTGATGACGCTCTGTGGTTGACGGCGCTGGTGGCGCGAACAGTGGCGCGCGCTCCCTCTCCCTGAAGATGCTCAAAGGCGCTCGTGCTGGTTCGCTGACAGCAGTTTCTCTCCGCTGCTGGATGAGCTGCATCAGCACGCTCCCTCTCCTTGAAGATACGCGAACGCTCTCGTGCTGGTTTGTTGAAAGCAGGTTCTCCACTGCTGGATGACTGCACTGCACGCGCTCTTCTCTGGTTTGCAGAAGCTCTTGCTTGGTGCGTCGATCGCGCTGCAGCTGGACTCAATGTAGAATAAACTTTCAGCGATACTCTGTCTTTCAGCTCTTTGAAATCACACTCGGTGGCGCCTCACTACCCTGCTAGTCTTGCCATCGTCAGTGGGTAGCGACGGGGCCCCTTTGGCCTCCGCTCGCCGCCCCCTGCTCTGCAGCTCGCCGGCTGGCGACCTGTTGCTCTCGTTCCCGGTTTGAACTGCTGATGAGTCGAGCCGACCTGCCCCGCCGGTCGCAGCTCGCTCCTGAGTCGACCCACCGGTCGAACTCTCTGGTGAGTCGACCCCCCCCCCCCCCCCCCGGTCGAACTGAATTCGCTTGTTGGAGCGTCTCACTTTATGTCAAAATCTCTCCTCTTGGCTCCCCCCACAAGGTGGGGCTTCTTTTGATTTAGCGGTGTGTCATGGTCTGGAGCGTGTGTCCGTCCGTATGTGTGTGTCCTTGTGTGTGCCATTTACGGCATATTCCGCTGTCACCCTCCTTCCATAAAACACCAAAAAGTAAAACAACCAGACGTTACAAATTGTCTCGAAGGCGTCTCTCGGTCTGCCTCTCTGTTTGCCGGTGCGGGAGGAAGGGCAAGCTTCCCTCCCTGCATCATGTCCCCGACACACAAGGGAATGGTTAAAAAGTTTTAAGTTAACATTTCCTTTCATCACAGTTCCACAGTTATGATTCTGTATGTAACCCAAGGTCTGTGTTAGCTTCCCGTTGGTGTTTGACTCGTGTTTTCGCGAGCGTATACACACTCCTACCCCGCGCTGCGGGGAGACAAAGACGGCCGGGATCTCCCTTTCTCACCGACCCTGGGTTTAACATCGCCCAAGTCATGCAGTTTATGTTTGTGTAAGCGTAGTATAGTTCACGGTGAATAGCGCCAACATGAATGTTATGGATTAAATAATGTATTGTTTTATCTTACTTAAAAACTTGCTGGGGTTTTTGCTGACACGCTGACATTCCAAGCCCCCGCCCTTATTCCTGCTCGCGCGTGGTCCGCTGTCTTGCTGACGCCGCCAATTCAAGGCCTCATTAATTTCCGTCACTCTGTGTAGGTGAGGGAATGTCAACCTTGGAGTCAGTTCTGGTTTTCGTCTGCCTGCTTCAGCACTTGGTCTGCTCCCTCTGACCCTGGGAGTTTGTGAACTGTCAACAGTAGGTCATGGCGAATGGCTTTTCATGACCTCCACACGGCATGCTGAGGCCTTGGGACTGTTTTTATTCATTATTAAAATAAAAATAAAAGAAATATGTATCGAAAAATTACTTGTTAATATTAAGATGGAAAAGGGGTATATATACAACAGGATTTATATTTGCTCTGCTATCATTGAGACGTTCATTCTTGCATTCTCATGTTGCATTGCGGTTTCTGTTGTCCCTTCAATATCAGTGAACTCCACCAGGTGGTGCAACATCACACGTCATGCTCAGAATCTCCGACCAATTACAGCTGCACCTAAAGAATAATTTTAAGAGTTTGAAGGAAATGAGTCGCTTAAATGTAACACGTGGGCCATCTTGCTCTATTTAAGACCGGAAGCAGGAAGACTTCTTCACAATCCGAGCAAATCTCCTGATGAAGCTGGTTGGATTCACCGTGAAACGTCGTACTGCATGCAATGAACATGGTTTGGGTTTACTCAACATCAAACCCATGTGCTGAAGTAATAGCTGTTGGCTCGTTTTGTTGATGTAACAAACCTTACGAATTGGCTGTCAGGTGGTGGTGGGTTAACGACGCATTTATATTTATATGATGTAACACAAAACCCTTTATTATGAATACGATGAGTTACGTCAAAAAACAAATGTAACGTGGTGCTACGCTTCGTGTAGCCATCAATTCTCTGCAATTCAGAATCTGGATTCATCGTGGGGCGAAGACTTCATCTGAAATCTTAAACACCTGCACAGTCGGCGTTTTGTGTCTCTCCACTCTCACGCTCCTCCGTCTCACCTCCTCCTGCACCTCCTCCTCCTCCCCACTCTTCTTCTCTCCTGCACCATTCCCAGCATCGCTCTCCTTTACTTCAACCTCTCCCACCTCACTCGAAGCTCCTGTCAAGTTCCAATAAACCGCCCCCATAATTGTCTGAACTCTCCCTTCATTCTCTGCGTCATCTCCACCACTTCTCACAGTTTCTTTCACTTCCCCAGCACCATTTGCCCCCATTCCTCCACCGCCCACCTCAATCTGTGACGCTCTCCTCTACACCACTCTTCTCTCCTTCAATCTTTGCTAAGCCAATGTTCACGTCCCCAAGTTTAGTTACGTCGCTCTCTGCCCCGCTCATCGTGCCCCTACCAGCCCCACTCGAGTTTTGTGTTGCTCCGTTGCTGGCCTCACTCTCCCCAGCAGCACCTCCCCCAGTTCCTCCATCCCCCACCTCAATCTGCGATGCTCCACCCTCCTCTACTCCACTCTTCCCTACTCCACTCTTCTCTACTCCATTCTTCTCTACTCCACTCTTCTCTACTCCACTCTTCTCTACTCCACTCTTCTCTACTCCACTCTTCTCTACTCCACCCTCCTCTACTCCACTCTTCTCTACTCCACTCTTCTCTACTCCACTCTTCTCTACTCCACTCTTCTCTACTCCACTCTTCTCTACTCCACTCCCCGCTACTCCACTCTTCTCTACTCCGCTCTTCTCCGCTCTATTCTCCACGACCTTGCTGTGCAGCTCCACATTCTTACTCGTGTCGCTGTTCACTCCCACACCTTCTACCATACCTCCCTTCACTCCCCCACTCTCCTCCACCTCACCAGTCGCTCCTTCACCCTCCTCAAACCGTAGACTCAGGCGGAGTATGGTTACCGTCCCCTTGTGTACGCACAGGGCGGGGTAGACAGGGCCTGGGAAGGCGGTGGCATTGAATGAGTGCAGCCGCCTCCTGGTGTCGGCACAGTAGAACGAGAGGAGCCCCTTTTCCCAACGCAGGTGGACGCCGATCTTCCTGGGAGGAGGGCGCACGGCCGCCAGTGCGGTGTGGAGGCCGCGGTGGCTCGCCACGTAGCCGCCCTCGCGTCTGCACAGGCACCAAGAGTCCGTGCCCGCGCCCAGGAGCCGCGCCTCCTCTCTCCCTCCGCGCGGTAGAGTGGCGCACGCGACGCCCACTCTGAACTGCTCCGCGCCGCCCACGTCCACCTCCCAGTAGTGCGCGCCGCTGGAGAAGCCCTCGCGGCACAGGGCCTGAGCGCAGTTCTCAAAGCGCTCGGGGTGGTGGGGGTAAGAGTGGCGTTCGGAGGACAGAGTCACCGTCCTGAGGTCGACGGAGAGGCGGAGGTCGGAGTTCACGGAATTGGGGTTCACGGTGGGAGAGCACCTTTCTGAAAACAAAACAAGAACAACAATTTGTTTGCATGCGTGTTGAACTTCCTTCACACTGTACGTAGCCGACCATGATTATTGGAGGTGCACGTCTCAAATTTAAAACAATGAGATGTTTATTTTACCAGAGAAATCGTTGCTGATTGTGGCTAAATACCTAACCTATCTGGAATTTAGCAGCATTTTGGTCGTAAACGCCACCGTTTATAGCAACAGCATTGACATTGAAGCTTCGTCAGAGCCACAGACGATTGAGACTTCATGCCCACCTTGACGTCTCACTCTCCTCACAACCTTCCTAATGGTGTCCTATTTAAGTGGTTTGTCTCTTACCTGATGAGTGTAACATGGCGAGGAAGTCTCTTTCATTACTTCTAGTGGCTTCCATCACTTCCTTGAGCTCCCCGTCTTTCTTTACACTTTTAACTTCCTGGCGGATGAACATTTCACACTTGCTGGGGTATTTTTCCATGTATGCCTTCCAGTAGACGTACGCTTCGATGTGGCCCTGCATCAACATCTCATGCAGGAAGAGATAGGGTCTCCTGCACAACAGGGGCACCATCTCATTCCGCACAGGCATCAAACTGGCCTCGTACTCGTCAACCTTCTGGATAACGTTTTTGCGGCCAGTGTTGACATCACCACTGAGGGGTTGGGCTAAGAGAGGGGTGAACAAAAACACGCTAATGAGAGACGTGAGGGAGTCCGAGCAAATGCTATGTCCTCAGCCACAGGCAATGGCTGGGCAAGAGCAGCTTCATTCCTCAAGGTATTGCTGCGTTTCAGTATCTTGAACAATGCCTCTGAGTGCGAGTTTTAACGATCCACAGGAGTGGATCGTAAAAAATAGATGAAGCTACAAAATACAAAATCTGACGTGTTTTGAAGCTTACACAATTCTCCATTTTTTTTTATCAATCTTTGTGATGTAAATATTATAATTGATTATATTACTACCAGCCATCTTCAGCTGGAGAATCTCTAAACATGCGTAGCGTTTAGTTTGGCTGTCAATTTGTTGGATGTTTTCACATCACATGTAGAGTGATCATTACGTGGCCTTACCCAAAACTCAATTATAAATCGTACTACTAGCGACAACAACCTCGGTATTGCCATTTCAAGATTGATGTTTAAGCTGATATCAGGTGAACCCTACTGCCAATAACTGAGTCATGTATGTTAATTATTTGAAAGGCTGATCTCACCAATGGTAATCGATCCACTGAACAGCAACACTGCAGGATGAAGCGTAACGGAGCGTTCCCACTCTTCCAAATAAAAATCGTGCAGAGTCGTCATGGTCTCGGCACAAACAAACGTGAGCTGCTTAATTTCAAAGTCCAGGTGAAGCCCGATTCGCTGGGGAGGCACTGGCGGGTTCAGCACGGTGACTTCTCCATTGTGAGCAGCCACGAGCTCAGCGTCGCGTCTCCACACGCACCAGGACATTTTAACCCCGTCCAGCCCAGCAATAAATTCTTCTCTCTCCATCGCATTCTTCCCACAAGCGACACCGACCATGTATTGCTCTGCACAGCCGACGTGCAGCTCCCAGTAGTGACGCCCGGAGGAAAATCCCTCCGAGCACAGCGCTTGGGGGATGGCCTCAAACCTGTCCACGTGATATGGATACAGTTGATCAGCTGCTTTCGTTACCGTCTTGAGGTCCGTGGACAGCAGTAGGCACCCATTTGCTGTGTTAGGGTCGTATGTTGGCGAGCAGATTTCTGTAACAATAAAAATAATTAATGGCATCAGATGAATGAGATCAGGCGGCGTTGATGATGCTGCCAGGGGCACCACCGCTGCTGCTGCTGTGCTGGGTGAACGGTTGGGTCACGGCAGTGGGGCACTCTTCAGGGACGGACGCGTGGAATATAACCCAATTAACATAACAAGGCACAAACACGGTTGCTGTGGAGGATACTGAGCGGTGTTGATGTCGTTATTGATGTCATCATCATCAACAACCAAGATCAATCGACTGCCACATGAAGGCCTTCAAGCCGTTTCCATCTCTCACACACCCGGGATGTAATAATCCACCGACCACCTGCACACAAACTCGTTTAATTGCTCCGTCTCCTCGGCGGGCCATCCTCTGGTTGCCGCTCCACCGCTATATTTGACCATCGCCTCTCATCCCTTCTAACGGCGCATTCTGTCCCAGCACACTTGCTCCTCTTCACCGTTTGAATGATGCAATCTGCCAACCTGCCCTGACCAGCGTGGTCACCACTCTCAAACACCACCACATGACCTACACATCTTATTAACCATATTACTTTACAGTGATACAGATAATTCTGCAATGTACGAGTCATTTATGTACTTACCAGCCTGTCTCTGCATGTCTAGAAATGTTATCTTCCTGCTACTGAAGCCCTCGTAAATGTCCCTGAACTTCCCGCAGGCCTCCTCTCCTCTGTCTACCACGAGGGTGATGACGTAGTGTGCCCGTCGTGACGCATCAGGGAGGCCGCGTGCCTTCCAGTACTCGGCCTCGTCGATGAGCTCCCGCAGAAAGAGGTCGAGCAAGAGGTGGGGCCCGACCCCACCACCTCCACTCCCCAGCAGCTCTGAGCGGCGGTCACTCAGCCACGTCCACACGGCACCTCCACTCGAGGCCATCTTCTCTTGGATCATCTCCACAGTGTCTCTCACAACGACAACCTCCACCTGCGACACGGCCACTGTTAGGACGTGGACTCTGCAATGGAACTTGCATGGATTGGACACAAGGAGAATGAGGAGCAAAGAGAGACGGCAAAGATTGAAAATGATGAGGGCGAAAAGACGACACAGAGAAAGTTACAAACGTGGCAAGATACAGTGAGGCAAGACCATGAAGAGATTTGTAGACCAGAGTGAAGAATTGGAACATGCAGCGTTAGTAGCCGATCGTTTGCCTGGAGTGCGGTGGTGGTGGTGGTGGTGTGGTAGGAGTTGTCACCTGTGGTTCCGATGGGGTTGTCTTGGGGCGATCGTCGCTACTCAACGGTTGCCTCTCAGAGTCGGTGGCATTGGCTTGGGAACCTTCATCATAGGACACAAACACGGGCATTGTGGTTACACAGGACCAGTTCTGAGGGCAGGGAACGTCCGGTCTGTGAAATCATGACTAGAATAGAGAGGGACACAACCAGACTGGCGGCGTTGAGGAGCAGCGTCTGACTGGAATCAGATTAAAGATGCCATGACCCAGTAGCCCTGTGTTATTGATCACTCCGTATTCAGTGTGTGGTTAGATTGTACTTATGAAACGTGTGATTACTTCATGTGAATATATTCATTACCAATTGAAAATGAATCAACAGCAGCGAGTGTTAGGGTGAAATCAGGTTGCGGTGTTGGTGTTTTTTGGTCGAAAATAAATTTTAACGTAAAGTGCTTGCATGTTTCTTATCCACTTGTCAAAACAGGTCATAGACATTGTTTGACAACAGAGTGAACACTATAAGAAGATGACAATGGAACTCACCCGCATGTTGAGATTTTTTCACTTTCTTAACCCAATATACGAAAACAGCAACTCCACCCAGAGCAGCAATAAAAATGAATACGGCGACAACCCAAATCCAATGCAATGAGCCTACAACACAAAACACACACGTAATATAATGTTATATATATGCAATATTTACACTCGCATAACAACAAGATGTTCTACTCAGTGTTGAAGACAGTGCCGGTGGAATTGAGCTAGGCCAGTAGAAGGACTCAAAACGAAATTTGTTCAAATTAATGGGGTGACTGCAAGTTTCACCGCCGCTCTTCCCACCATGGTAACTTTCTCTAGTGTAGCTGCCCAGGGCTCTTCTTATTTTTCTGACCGTCCTTTCACTGCCTCCCACTTTGCTCTATGTTGCCCTCCTCTCGATGTTCGTGTTGTTGTTTGTTGTTGTTTGGTTGTTTGTTGTCGTAACTTGCTGACCCCCCTGCCGCTCCTGGACATCTGTGAAAAAGAGCTTCATAGCTCATCGGATTCCTCCTCCTGTAGTCTAAATAAAGATTCTGATTCTGCTGAAATGCATATGCTCCAAGCCCCGCCCAAACATGCTGATATTGATGGATGTGTAGTGACAGGGTGCCATCTGCTGGCCATGGGGGCTAACTACGGGTATAGGTGCGTTATAGAACGACACACAAGCAACCATGAGGGGGGTGTCACTGGGCCAAAGGCCAAGGAAGGGATCGATCTGGAAGCTCCTGGAACCAGCGAGAGAGTTCCATAAGAGGGGCGTGGCCAGGGGCGGGGCTTCGCCATGCTGGGGGGATATAAGGGAGAGGCAAACGGGGGTTTGAGGCTGTCGTGGGGGCTGTGGTCGCTGTCAACGCTTCCATCTCTTCGTCTTCATCGTCATCGTCGCTGCATAGCCAGCCGGCTACAGTCTGCATTGTCGTCGTCGCTATATAGTCAGTCAGCTATATAGTTGTATGTCACCAATGTGGCTGTATGGGTGGCTAAGCTAAAAGTAACTCAGCGCTTATGTTATTCCGTGACCCTGTCCTTAAAGTATCGAGAAATAAATAAGAAACCCTCACTTCTCGGAAGTCGTCTCACTACAGATGTATAACACGTAGGAGGCTTTCACAACCAATATCATCCATACGCGTTTTTTTTGGGTGGGATTTCATAAATATAAATGTGTCATTGAACCTGCAACCACCCGACACAGCCCAATTAGTAAGGGTTGGCACGTAAACAGAACGTGGTGCCAATTCGTTGCTAGTTCAGCACACCGGCTGTGTGTTGAAGAGTGAACCCACAGCATTTACAATTCGAGTACGACGTTTCGCCAGTAATTACAAACCGGCATGTATAGGTTTGAGGGGTCTAAGCCCCCTTAGCCCTAGCCACCTACCACCATGCAATTGCTCTATGACTCATGGAGATGTGGAAAGATGAACGTCTTCAATTGCACACAATACGCGGGCAGGAGTTTTAATTTGGTTGATGAGGCCAAACCACCAATGTGGCAAGTTCTAGGCCCAGCAGTAGGGATTCTTTCCCAGAATGGGCATTAATTACCAAGTCACTGGCTGAATAACCAGCTGGAATCCATCTCTTACCTCACTTCGGTATTGTATCTTTACCAGGTGGGAATTCCATTGGTACGGCACGATGTCATAAAAGCAGCCTTAACACCCCCCCCCCCTCATTCACACCTCCTCAGCAGAGGATCCAACAACAACTCATTCACCGTTATTGGCTCCTTTCTCTGCAAACATGGAAGGTCAGCTCCCTTTGCCCCGTAATGTTGTTTGGACTCCTTGCTTCTGATAGCTCAGTGGGCCTTACTTGTGTAAAATAAAAATAGCTTTCAAGAATCTTTCGTTTTAGTTAAGTTTAATTTTGGCATAAAACTAGCCACGTGGCCGAACACAAACAAATAATGATGAACGTATTGGCAACGAAAATCTACGTTGTAATTTAACCCACACCATTGTACAACACAACTTGTGTCTTACCCAGGCCCAGATTTGGACTTACTGAGGGCCCTAAGCTATGTAAAGCTTAGGGTTCGTAACACGTAGGAAGGACAAGATCAATGGTCCTGCATAATGTGCATGCATAATGTACGTTCACTCAAGAGCTTAGAAGTTTGGTCACCACATCTATGCCTCTATATAAGGAACGAAACAGGTGGACTTCACAAAGCTGGCTGTCGCCTGATCAAGCTAGTTGTAATTACTAGCAAAACGTCGAACTCAGTTTGTAAATGTTGTGGCATGGCTCTCCAACACACCTGCGTGCTGTACTAGTGGCAAATTGGCATGTTCTGTTTATGTGACAACCCTTACTAGTTGGCTGTGTCGGGTGGTGGCGGGTTTAATGACACATTTATATATTTACGCGATCTAACCCAAATAAACTCTATTATCGAGTAATGCCTGTATATTTGTTGTCATATCCGAATGAAAATAACCGCTCTAGACAGTAATTTTTCCCCTACCTCCTTAATTTTCAACCGATTATGTAAAACTGTAAATGTATTATTTTGGGGAATTTAGAGCCCCCCCTTGATAATGTGATGCCCTAAGCTGTAGCTTATTTAGCTTCAATGAGTTGGCTCCTAAATATCTGACCACCAATCTACTTAAGTTTTATATTCCACTGCGAAAAAACCGTACATCTGCTGATTCTCACCCGTTTTTTACTGCAGGCTTTCTCCAAAACTCGACATGGAGCTCATTACTATAGAACTGCTTGTTGTTGTTGTGTTTAGTTTGTTGTCCTTCCCCCACACCTCCAATTATCATGGTTGGCTTACGTACGGTGCAAAGAAGTTCAACGCACATACTTGCACACAAAGCTCTTTGAGACCCTGTGCGAATAGCGCTGCAGAAACCAAGTTAATCGTTATCTTGCCTAAATCCGGCGCCGGTCTCACCTTTAAGAACCTCGCACGGCTCGGACTGGCTTGGTCTGTGCATTCCTTCCACACACTCGCACACCGTGTCGCCAGTGGTGATGCACTTATGCTGAACAACCTCCCCTGTCAAAGAAAGTCGCGCGAACACAGCGTACAATTGGCAGTGCTTAACGAAGGGCATTTAAGAGATGGGCCTCAATAGAACGCGTGATCACACGATGTACTGACACCACCACTGTTGGGAACACAGCATCATGGGTGTGAGAGTTTAATAAGAAAACGACGAATACTTTGCTCGTCGCAGACTCTGCATCCTTGGCAGCTGGTAAGGTTATTTGCCGAGTCAGTGAATGTTGATCCGTCGCTACATGAAAGGCAGACTGGGAAATGTTCCTCAAATGAGCAGTCTTCAACCTTCGCTGTCCCTGTTGGGTGAAACAAAGGTTATTATGTTTTTTCAATTTAAAGCTTTCGTGACTGCAGGGAATCATCTTCTTTGGTTCTTTCGGTAAAGTCACGTAGAATGAGAATAAAATAATAACATAAAAATAAGACAATAAAATTATCACGACGTTTCGGCCACACCACAAGCGGCTTTCTTCAGGTGAAAGAACAGAACTGTCGGGACGACAGTGCTTCAATGAGTGCTGCTGAGATTCGTGGTTTCTGTTCTTTCACCTGAAGAAGGCCGCTTGTGTTGTGGCCGAAACGTCGTGAGAATTTTATTGTCTTATTTTCATTTTATTATTTTATTCTCATTCTACGTGACTTTACCGAAAGAACCAAAGAATATGTTGTTGTTTATCTCAGTTGCTAAAGAGATGACCGAAGTCAATGAATCTCACCGTGGAAGCAAAGTGGAGAGGCAGGTGAGGGGTTTTGAATTAGCTTCTATCTGAGGGCTCAGAGCAATAATTTGATTGTTTGCTACCACCTGAGAAGTCAAAATTTGAGCCTCAGCAACGCGTTTAATAGCCAATTAACGTGAATTATACGCAATAAATTAGTTCAATGTGCACGATTTCACATCATCCACTTTGTAGCCAACTACGTTAAGTTAAAATAAACTGAAATAATATTTTACTTTACCAGGTAAAGCTCACTGATCTATATTGCTTTTTTCAGAAGCAACTTGTCCACAAATGATAGCTCAATAAATCATACCAGAATCTTTACTTATGCTGGAGAAAGCAAAGATGTCCAGATGGGGCGGGTCAGAAAGTTACAACAACAAACGATCCAAAAAATTATCGTCGTGCAAAGTATAGGAAAGGTAAACAAAAATCACAACAATAAATACGTAAAATAGATCAAGTACATGGGTTCAAACTGCACGAGTACATCAATTCCCAAGCTTATCACGTGGAAATTTATAGCAGCAGCCAAATTATATGAAACTCGTGACGTTGATTTTAAATGTGGAGGGGAAAACCGGAGGACCGGGAGAAAAACATCCACGTGACCACGGGGAGAGAGACGCAAACTCCAAATATACAGCAGCGTCAGGGTCGGGATCGAACCCACGGCCACCGCTGCATCGCAGGCGTTTATTCTGTATCCTAATTTCGACTTTCGTTCCGACAAATAATCCACGTGTCTTCGTCACCTGGGGGGCACAGCTGGCAGCAAATGTTGGTTTCGGTTCTGTACCTTCCTGGGGCACAGCCATCTTGATTGCCCTCTGCAGAGAGTGGGGCCATCTGCACACACACAGCACGTTAACTCACTCACACTCACACGTGTACCACGTTAACTCACTCACACGTGTAGCACGTTAACTCACACTCACACGTGTACCACGTTAACTCACACGTGTACCACGTTAACTCACACTCACACGTGTACCACGTTAACTCACACGTGTAGCACGTTAACTCAAACACACTCACACGTGTAGCACGTTAACTCACACTCACACGTGTACCACGTTAACACACTCACACGTGTAGCACGTTAACTCACTCACACGTGTACCACGTTAACTCACTCAAACTCACACGTGTACCACGTTAACTCACTCACACTCACACGTGAACCACGTTAACTCATTCACACTCACACGTGTACCACGTTAACTCACTCACACGTGTAGCACGTTAACTCACTCACACTCACACGTGTAGCACGTTAACTCACACACACTCACACGTGTACCACGTTAACTCACTCACACGTGTACCACGTTAACTCACACTCACACGTGTACCACGTTAACTCACACTCACACGTGTACCACGTTAACTCACACTCACACGTGTAGCACGTTAACTCACTCACACTCGTACCACGATAACGCACACTCACACGTGTACCACGTTAACGCACTTACACTCGCACGTGTACCACGTTAATTCACTTATGCACCACCTGTGCCCCCTACTGTGTCAACATGGCACAGCTGATTATAAACACAAAGACAAAGATCCCCCGTTTAGTCTCTAAAAGGCTGTTGGGGCAAGTGCTGTTAGGGAGTAGCACCTATGATGGCCGACACAGCACACGAGGGTGTTGGTGACCAGCACCAGGCCCGGCCGCCTTTGTCTCCCCAGTGACGATGTTTACTACACGCCACACGAGATGCTCATTAGAGGAGGCCGAGTCGACCTAGGGGAGACCCAGGGCCGGTTCCAGATAATTGTCACTGCTGTTGGTGTTGTCCCTGAGCAGCGCAGCGTAGCGCTACCTACTACACTACCCTCAGTCACAATGCACATATACACACACAGAGACGCATACACACACAGACACACAAAGATCAAAGATAAAGATCCCCCGTATAGCCTTAACAGACTGTAGGGGCAAGTGCTGTTAGCGAGCACCTATGAAGGCCGGATCGGTACACGAGGGGGTGGGTGGCCAGCACCACGCCCGACCGCCTTTGTCTCCCTAGTGGCAATGTTTACACACCGCACCAGGTACTCATTTGAGGCTGAGTCGACCTAGGGGAGGCCCGGGACCGGTTCAGATAATCGTCACTGGTGTTGGCCGTGAGCGGGAATCGAACCCGAGTCGCCAGGTTCATAGCGCAGCGCGCTAACCGCTACACTATCACACACACACAGACAACAACAACAACCGCCATTCGCCACTAAGTGGCGGTGACGTCACCACGACGCTTGTGCCAGGCTATGTGCACCCTGAGGCCACGTGAAGTGTCGAACGCCTGCTGGCAGGTCACGGGGCAGACCCAGGTGTCACGGGTCGACTGACTGAGATGACTGGCTGATGCACCACCTGTGCCCCCTACTGTGGCAACCTGCTGTGCTTTAGCCACCCGGCGCTCCGCTCGTTGTTGTGACCGTCGCTCCTCCACCCTCCGTTGTTGTTGGAGGGCGACTGCCTCCAACTGCCCAGTAGCGTCCTTCACGAGCCTCCTCCACAGAGGCCGATCTTGACACCGCTGGTACCAGTCATCGGCAAGTCCACTCAGCTCCACGTCCTCCTGTACCACATCACTCCATCTCTTCTCTAGCCCGTGCCGCGCCCGCTTAGCCCCCTCAATCCGGCTGAACAAAAGCTGTTTCGGCATGCGGTAGCTGGGCATGCGGGCTACATGACCCAGCCATCGCAGCCTTCCCCGCCGGAGGAGCTCACCGATGGGACCTTGCCCAGATCTTTCAAGGATTTGTGAGCTCCTCACACAATCCAGTCTGGTTAAACCCAGGATGGATCGTAGGCAGGCCAGCCTAAATGTTTCTAACCGGCGAAGATGTTCCATTAGGGGGGTCCACGTTTCGCAAGCGTAGAGAAGGGAGGGAATGACCGTGGCCGAGAAGACCTGAAGCTTAGTGCGGAGCGACAGACCAGGTAGCTTCCACACAGCGTTACGCAACCGATGAAAAGATATTGCCGCTCGACTGATTCGGAGTGAGACCTCTGCTGTTAAACTGGAGCCAGTCATAAGCACACTGCCCAGGTATGGGAAACTCTCCACTCTCTCCACAACTGCCCCATCACCGATTGGGAGTTGTGGGGGTGGAGTGTCCGATGGTACAAAATACCCAGGCAGGTGCTTAGATTTGGTGGGGCTGATGGTAAGGCCCCACCTCTTAGTGGCACGCTCCAGTAAGAGACACACACGCACAGAGGCACATATACACAGAGACGCATACACACACAGACACACACAAACACACACACAGACACACACACAGAGACGCATACACACGTACACAGACACACACACAAACACACAGACACACACACACACACGCAACTTACCAGCATGAGTGTGCAGGTTAGGAGCGTGGTGATCAGGCGTAATTGAGACATGGCCCAGGAGTTGTCCACACGGATGTGTGGATGTGAGCGAGAGGCGATGGACTCTCCTTGAGGCTCGCGTCCGGGTTCTCTCCCTGACTGATGAGGAGGACGAGGAGGGTGCGGCACGGCTCAATGGACTTTGAGTTCAATAAAAACGCAACTGGCGGAGGCCATTACAAGCATCCAGCAGTGAACAGCACTCACAATAGCGCTGATTTGGCCAACGCCAGAGACAGCCGCCTCTAATGCAGACTCGATGCCTTGTGATAGGGAGCCTATTTGGTGTTTCAACATCGTAACGCCTCCTGTATTCTTTGCGGGATGAGTCGAGACGATTATTTTTTTCATCACCTTGATACTGGCAAAGCACGGACCCAGAGACGGCACTCGCGATCGTGTAATGAGTCAAAGTGAATACGCTTATTGACATGAGGAAGATTGTACGGACATGGAAAGAGAGACAAACTGCATGGGGAACTTACACATTGAGCAATGCCAGGGAAAGAATCATACAGAGAAGCGTCGTGTGGTGGCTGGACACGGCGTGGACCACACGGGCAGTGTGGAAGACCGAGTAAAGGGGTCAATGTGTGTTCGTTCATGGGAACAGTCACCAAAGTGATAGCGATAGAAGAGTGATACGGAGGTGACTGACGGCCTGTTATGTTGAATTTAATTTAGCACAGCGAGTTAGGTACTGCGTGCTCCACCCCAGATATGATAACAGTTTTTGTTCACGTATTTAACTAGTTGGCTTTCGCCACCAATATTTTTCAAAATAAATTTGTTTTGGTTAGATCGCGTGTCGCTGGTGGTAATCGCCAGCGAAACTTCGTTAACTCAAATGATAAATGTTGTGGGCTTGCACACACACCATGCAGAGGGTCTGCTGAAGTTAAAACCAATTGGCACGTTTCGTTCCCGTGACAAACCTTACTCTGTGGCTGTGTCGGGTGGAGGTGGGTTTGCGACATTTATTTTTACACAATCCAACCAAAAACGCGTTATTATGAATAACAGTTGTTTTTAAAATGTGGCTGAACTCATGGTGCCATGTGTAGTGGAGTAGATAATGCGCATAGGAATTGGCCATATACAGTACATACAGACAGACAAGGAGAACGGGTCACACGAGGTCGAACAGGTGGTCGAGTCGCGAGTGGCGTAAACAAACCCAAGTAATTAAGGGAGTCGTGGCACGAGGGCTGTGATTGGTCAAGAGTATGTTAGCGTTAAGTGGTGGCGTCTGAATGTCTGATGAAGGGGACAGGTGTGGGCTGGCGGGAAACGGGCAGCGAGCCACGTGGCAATTAATTAAGGCTAATGCGAGAGGGGATAAAACGCAAGGTGGTTTGAACGGAGAGGAGTTGCTGTTGGAGAGTTGCTGCTGGGGAGTTGTGTTGGAGAGTTGTTGCTGGGCAGTTATTGGCGAGAGGTGAAGAGATACGAAGAAGACAGCTGGAAATGTTAGGGAAGAATAGATATAGAGCCATACCCCAAAGACAGTAAATAGCGATAGGGAGAGTCAGCGTTAGCGGAGATAGATAGAGTCACTGTGTGTGAATAGATGGAAGTCACTGCGTGTGAAGAGATAGCGGCGATACTGTGTGTGAGGAGATAGAAGACGAACCACTGTGTGTGGAAGGGAAACCACTGTGTGTGAAGAGATAGGCGAAGAAACACTGTGTGTGGAAGGGGATGCACGGACGATGCTGAAGTAAATCGGAGTGTCCGAGTTGGCGGAGCACGGAGAGAATTACTGTGTGTACGGAACGATGGAATAAAAGTGACAGCGGAAAAAGAGACGGTTGTCGTCCGAGTGAATTCACGGCACTACATTTGGTGTAAGAAAAAGTACGGAACACGCCACGATGTCAAGGAAAGCGGCAAAGAAAAGAAATGTGCCAGTGGACTCGGGCGGCGACAGCGACAACGACGATTTGCCGCCCGGCCAGATGGCCGGCAGTACTCCGGACGGTGACAGCGGTTCGGGTGGTGCTGAAGGCCCGGGATCGCCGGAGGATTGGCAAGTCCTCATGACCCAGTGGGAGGCCAGAATGGAGAAGTTGTCAGAGGAATTCCAGAATTTCTTGATGGAGAACCGCATTCAACTACCCGTACCGGGTCCACCGCCGGAGGTTGCCGCTCAGCCGGAGCGGTTGGAAGATTCTGACGACGAAGACGACCAGTCGGAGGGACCGCCACGACGGCTACACGTACAACGATTTGAGGCCAAAGTGGGAAATTGGACGGCATTCATACGAAGATTCCGTGCGGCTTACGAGTCCCTGAAGTGGACGGAGAGTGCCGCGTTACGAGCACTGCCGACGGCATTGGATGATGACTCCTTGGCGACTTTTAACGGACTCCCTGCCGCTGTCAGAAAAATATTGGACGGTGCTATTGCGGCAATGAGGAAGGTCTACGAGC